ATGGCTGGAATTGATTTCGTAGGTGTGTTGTTCGAATCCAGTTGTCTTGTCGATTATTGGTTACGCTTGGCCTGCCACTCCGAAGGATGGTCACTGACTGCATTCGTCTGTTGCCAACGTTGCCATAAACACCAAATGGTGTTTCTGTGGACGTTAACTTGTCTTGCAACATCACGTTGACTCGATCCTGCTTCAAGCATACCAATTGCTCGCAGACGTAGCAGACGTTCATTTTCGGACAGGCGTGGCATTTCGTAATGTTGAATAAATGCGTAATTTTGTTGTTTTTCTGAGTGGTTGTTGTCAGGACGATGCTAAATAATGCATATGAAATCCCGTTAACGCACATGTTTTTATACCCATTCTTGGGTAGTGAAATGCATGGAGCTTGCATAAAAGTCAATTTTTGCATAGAATGCATGCTTTTCTGTAGCAGTTGCGTTTTTGTGACTTGATTCCATTCATGTACTACAATATTGAAAACCAAACTTTGCTTGTTTGAAAAATACACTAAAATATTGGTGTCACAGGAACTTTTGTTGTTGAGTATATTAACATATAATGTATAATTGTACAGCGCGCAGTTTCCAATTTATAACGGTGGTAGACGGTTAACTGTTAGTTAACTGTCACATTAACATCTTCTACCGGGTACCCATTCAACTGATGGGTAAACAGAGTTCACTTGCCTAGGCGACTCCAGAGGGGACGTGGCAAACACGATTAATCGTTCGACTTCTCTCCGTCACTCTCTTGCTGAACGTCACCTGATGACAAGTTGCCACCACATGCACAATTAACAAGGCATTTCGTCCAAATAATGTATGTCTTTGAAATATTTAGACCCATCCTGATTAAAAGCCAGAAAGCTTAGAGGAGCCATCTTCAACTCAAATATTTACATGAGATTCCCCACATCAAACACGTATGCTTCATTAATTACATATACAGTTGCTTGTCGGAAACAAATATATGGATCACGAGATTCGTATGCAAGAAGAAGGAAAGAGAAACACATATAATCAAAACGTTATCTTTCTGATTGAATAACTATACACTGTTTTATATCAACCGAATGTAACGGAATGTAAACAATATCAATATTTTCTTGTCATTTTGTTGTGGGATATGTTAATGGTACATGTAGGCATTCCTCGAGATACATCCATCCCAGGAACTGTCCATTTTCTCTGCGTCATCATCAGTTGTCCGCTTTGTTCTCAGTGTATATTTGAAACAGGAGGTTTTAATGAAACCATATATCCTGTTCAACACTCGGATTAATTTTAGATACCAAGTTTCACTGATATGTGATGTGTAAACTTAATCATTATATTTAAGTTGGTTGGTTGATTTGTTGTTTAACACCCCACTCCATACGATGACATGCATCAACGAAGTCAGCGAGCCTGACCACCCGATCCCGTTAGTCGCCTTTTCGACAAGCACAGTCGCCTTTTACGGCAAGCATAGGTTGATGAAGACCTATTCTACCCTGGATCTTCACGGGTCTAATTATAGGAATTCACATGGAGAACCAATACAGTAAGTTTATCTGTATTTGAGGCGACCATCAGTACAGTACACGTGGCGTCGTGCAAGGTCATTAGAATGGAATGCTTTTGACTTTGAAAATTGAAAGTGTAACTTCCTCATTTTCTCATCTTATTTGACCCTATGGGTTTGACGTTAAACCTTGGAAAATCCGCCTACTCTCCCTCTAGTTTCCTGATTGAAGCCTTATTCATTCGGTAATCAAGGTCAAGCGTACATACGTTAAACTCTCAGCTTCCCTATTCATTTTAGTATGAATGATATGAACATTTTGTTCAGGGGCATTTAGCCTCGGCGAAATATTTCCGGTGAAACAGTGACGCCAGACACCCACTGGGGTAAAACGAGAGTAATGAAACAAACACCACATATCTTCATATATTCCTGCATTTACACTTATCAAAGGGGTACGCAATCCATTCGATACCATGCCTCAGTTTAACATGCATACCCCACTCAGACACAGTATACTGACTCCTAGCCGACCAGTCCTTGTTTTAGCCCCTTAATGCCGAGCGTCAGACAGGGTAACAACAAATACCATCTTTTAACGTCTTTTGGTATGACGCGGTCGGGGATCGAACCCCGGACCTTCCGCTCTCCAGGCGGACGCTCTACCACCAGACGACGGAGGCGGTCTCTGTGCTACTAAACCTGGTAAGCAGTACTTTCCACAGTACAGTACACTGGTCATTACTGTTTAGGACTGTCACGCGAGATGGCACCTGGGTTAGGCACGTAGGGCAACAGGGAAATGTTTGTGGCTTTTAGCCAAGGTCACATGTAGTGAGCCATTAGATATTTGACTTTCGACTATCGAGACAGATGCTATATATAATTTAGTGTTTAGTTGTTTGTTTGTTGTTTAACGCCGCACTCAACAAAATTCCAGCTATATGACGGAGGTCTGTAAATAATCGAATCTGGACCAGACAATCCGGTGATTGACATCGTGAGCATCGATCAACGCAATTGGGATACAATGACATGCATCAACCAAGTCAGCAACTATCTCGTGCTGACTCAGGGGTTTGAGTATAAAGCTCTCTCTACTAAATACAGAGAACATGCCCGAACGTGTCACCCGTGTGCAAAATACGCATAAATGAAAGCGCATGTTAAATCCCTAACAGTAAGTGAACGCGTCACTCGGCGGCCATGTTTAAAGTGTGTGAACAACTCGAGGACGTCTGTGTGAATAAATTAAATGTTTATTCAAGACATGTTTCTGTGCATTATGAAGAGGTGTGATACTACACCTTATGTCATGTAAGGCTGTTGTATAAAGCAAACCTTATGTCCTCTTTCTTTGACTAAACCATATCACGGCTAACAGGTATAATGGGATACATATGTTTGGGTAAACGGGAACATTGAACAAACTTCGCATTTGATCTCGTCACCAACCAGCTCACATAGTCAATACAAGGAAGTATGAACTATTTTATATGTTATTTCTATTTTGACTACAACATGTGTCACGCTTGTCGAGAGGCTTCCTCGTGTTAATCATCTGGTGCATTTTTGTGAGCTTGTGAAAAGGAAGTTTTACATTGTATCAAGCTCAACTCTCTATGTGTAAAATACATGAGTACACATGACTGTGCTAGCACATGGTTTTACCGTGACTGCCATAATTATCAAAAACACACGAGTAAATAATGACATTTCTACATTTAGGGTGGTCGGGTGGCCTAGTGGTTAAAGCGTTCGCTCGTCACGCAAAAGACTCGGGTTCGGCTCCCGACATGAGTACAATGTGTGAAGCCCATTTCTGGTGCCCCCTGACTTGATATTGCTAGAGTATTGCTTAAAACGGCGTAAAACCATAATCACGCACTCACCCATTTCTGCATTTAACTATAATTTCACACTAAATTGAATGAGTGAGTGAGTTGGGTTTAACGTCGCAATTGTAGATGTGTTTTCTGGTGTTTTGAGGATGGGTTCACTATGTCATTATAGTTTAATCCATTTGAACGTGTTCAATGTTTGGTGAGGGAGTGAGTGAGTTGGGTTTAACGCCGCTTTTAACAGTATTCAAGTTATATCGCGGTGTGTCAGCTTAATGTGGGAGGAAAGCCCGAAGTGATGCAGGTCTCATACGTTTACCACCTCGGTTAAACCCACGGGCATGGGTATGGTGCTGACAAACCTAGAAACATTATCGGTGCGAACCGGGATTCGATCCCACAATCAAAGGTTTCTGGTGTATTCAAGGGACGCAATTCTGCACAGCGATTTGGGGCGCCTAAGACGAGTGGGCCACCCGTGGCCCCTACTAAATAGAAACTGAAACACATTACATCGCCGTCACCGTGCTCTAGCATGAGAAAAAGTGTTATACACTTAAAACAAAAGTTGAAAGATGAACAGCTAAGATTAAATTGCAGGCAAGTCAACTCAACATATTTCAACATCATAAATATTGAAGCTGATACACGTGGATCACTTTGTGTTCTAGTACCGTACTGACTTGTGTCTAGGGAGCCAGTTATGAAACCGTGAGCTAGAGACACAAGGCATGAATGAACAATTACTTTTCTCTGATATATATTTTGGTAAACTGAGCACATTCTAATCTTGCTCCTAATGTTACTCAAGTTCATCACATGGGACTGACGTCTGAGTTTTGAAAAGCGGCAAAAACACAAATAAAAGCTGAATAAATTACACTGTCTTATGGGTCTGACATTGTACTCTTGTGGGGTATAGAACCCGGGAGTTTGGCGTGACGAGCAATTGCTTAAGCCACACGTCTTACACAACCGCATCTTGTGTCGAACGAAGATAACAATGTGTGTGTGCGTGCTTGCGTGCATGTGCGTGTGTGTGTGCGTGTGCGTGTGCGTGTGCGTGTGCGTGTGTATCGATTGAAAATAGCAGTATGTGCGTGTAACAGTTGTATCGATTGAAGCAATCCTTATTTGCGTGTTGCAGCGCTGTCAGGTAAGACAATCTTTCCTGCTAACTTAGCTTTGTCCTTGTTTTGCAGATAGCAAGCATTGACTTGCGTTAATTTCCCAACAAATATTGCAATAAGGCAAGATCAGTTGATTAAACATTTATTATCAGTCTATCGATACAGATGCTATAAAAAAAATTACTGTATATTCGTTTGTTTCTCAAATTAAAGAATGCGTGATCGCAAATCGTCAGCTGCCATCCTAAGCTGCCTACCTTCAAATGCCTGGTTCAAATCCACGCCAGGATGCTATCAAAAATGCACACTATAACTGTGGTTGACAATGTGTCGAAAAAATTGAAGGTTGCCAATTACTGAGTATTCATGATGGCTAAAGCGATTCAATCAAACTTTCCTTCTTGGAATGCATTGGACATATGATTGTGACATTCAAGTGATTTATTTCAAAAGTTATGTTATAAAAGGCTTAAAAAAGGCAATATCAGTATCATAAATACAAAGAGCATGTCTTCACTATAATTGTGAATTGTCAGAAGCGTACGTCAGAAGGAAATAGAAACGAAATAAAAAAGGTTTAAAATACATTCATTTATCTCTTTGTATCAGTTGAAGTATTAATACATAAACGGAAAGACCATGAGTGATAATTTCGACCTCACTTTCAATGTCCTGTTATTTTGTTTATGTTGTGAAACTTCACTAACTGTCATGTGTGTGAATAGTACAATCAGAACCGACACGAACATATATCATCAACAAACGCTTGAACCAATTATTAACTTAGACGTTTTTTAATGTCAGCTTATAATGTTAGTATTTCCACTGAAGTGACTATTCAAAGTCTACAAATCAGATTAATATATGACATACCCATATACCATCCAAAACGTGAAATGATAATGTGATACAATTTGCAATAAAGTTTCAAATGTTGCATATTCCTTCTTCGCACAGATTTCCTTGTAAACAGCAGTGACAACATCAGAAGTTAATTTCGATATTTCCATTTCAGTACTTGAAAAAGAAACCTTTGAACTGGAATTATTTAATAACCCTGTTCTGAATTTTATCTGTAAGTATACATATATGATCCATTTTACCCATTTTCTTTTACAAAAGCATTCAATTTGGTAGGAAACGAAAACTGGCACAATGAAAGCAAATATTTATCATCAAGGATAAAACAAGGATATCAGTGTGGAACTATTTACAGTAAGACAATACGAAACATATAGAAATCAATTAAACCGGATTATTGGTTAAAAATAAATCATAGAAGGCTTCCAGAGACCCTCACATAGTAAACGATGCCAAATAATAAATGAAAACAAACACAGTAATGACCACAGACGACAATTACAACAATGAAGGCATAAAAGAACTAATTGCATCAATATGTACACTTATAAACAAACATAATCAATATAAAACTGTTGAAAAGAAGAACCATGTTTGGAGGTCTGTAACTGCCACAAGCTATGTTCTATAATACTGTTAAAAGCGATAATATTTCATAAATGTTAATGTCAATGTGATCCTCCGCTTGATATATCGAAACAATGCATATGACACGTCAGGGCCTCAAGCTTTCCTTGCATCGCACAACGGGGTAAAGGTTTCCCCTTGGCTGTTCTCTCACTTGAGGCTGTACCTGGTACTGTGGTCTTCTGCAGAGGAAGCTGATGGATGGACAGACGTGTGGATGTGGAACTGTTCCCTCACATGAGGCTGTACCTGGTACTGTGGTCCTCTGCAGAGGAAGCTGATGGATGGACAGACGTGTGGATGTGGAACTGTTCCCTCACATTAGGCTGTACCTGGTAGTGTAGACGTCTGTAGAGGAAGCAAAAGGATGGACAGACGTGTGGATGTGGAACTGTACCCTCACATTAGGCTACACCTGGTACTGTGGACGTCTGTAGAGGAAGCTGAAGGTTTGAGACACGTATGGATGTGGAACTGTTCCCTCACATAAGGCTGAACCTGGTACAGTGGACGTCTGCAGAAGAAGCTGAAGGGTTGGGGCACGTGTAGATGGAAAACTGTTCCCTCACATAAGGCTGCACCTTATACAGTGGACGTGTGTAGAGGAATCTGAAGGGTTGAGACACGTGTAGAAGGCGAACGGTTCCCTCACATAAGGCTGCACCTGGTACAGTGGACGTGTGTAGAGGAAACTGAAGGGTTGAGACACGTGTAGATGTGGAACTGTTCCCTCACATTAGGCTGCACCTGATACAGTGGACGTGTGTAGAGGAAACTGAAGGGTTGAGACACGTGTAGATGTGGAACTGTTCCCTCACATAAGGCTGCACCTTGTACGGTGGTCCTCCGTGGAGGAAGCCGAAGGGTTGAGAGACCTGTAGATGTGAAACTGTTCCCTCAGTAGTCGCTCATAATCATGCAAGGATAAGGCATCCTCGTCAGTGATGGAAGCGTACGGTGCATCACTGATGTCACAGGATAGTCTCTCCCCCACCACAGTGAGATATTCACCACATCTATAATTACAAGGTAAAACTTATATCACAAATTGTACATTACATATGAAATTGACCTGCACAGACAGTGAAGGATACATGTATGTTGTTTAAATGCGGCTGGCAATACAACCTGTTATATGAAGGGAAACCTTTGTTGTTCCTAACAAATTATCCACCTCCGACTTAAAACAAGCACAACTTTAACATTTTCCCACCTTTCTGTAAAAATCGTACATAGCATACATTCACTTGAGTAATTACGATCACAAGATACAAATGAAAATACAGCTATCGTTTTATTTAACTATTATATTATTATTGTCTCAGGTGACTTAAAGTATGTTGCTTCACACATTAAATAGAAACAGGAGAAATATCAGTGGGTTTTTTCCAACGATATGAAGTTACCCCGAGACCTATCTATAACATACAACTCAAATATTTCACTTGTAACAATAGAAAATGTATGTACCTTCTGCTGTGACCATCTGAAAGTAAAGAAACGTTGTACGTGTCAAATTCCTTAACGAATGAAACTTCGCGCAAAACATATATTTTCACCAAAAAAGACAACACTGACAAAACAAGACTTCAGCGTTTCTAGATACTTGACAAAAGGTGAACTTAAAGGTTGATTGAATTGTAAGAGAGTAATTTGTTTCCTTACCTTTTACGTCCTTGCAGACAAGAATAGCAACTGCTGCCACCACAACCGCCACAGCCGTGAGCATGACAGAGTAGACAGCTACAAGAGGGGCGATGTCGTCTACGTTCACCGCTTCTGGTGTAAGACAAAAGTTACACACATGTATAGTCAATATGATACGTCTAAGGAAAATGTCTACCGTGCAGTGACATGTCTCAAACATTAGGGATTAATGTCGTATGAAATGACAATCCGTATGACCAATACAACTATCCGTTTCTCGAACATGGCGTATTACATAACCTAGGATATGATTTACGATGGCTCACTTATATGTTTAAAGGTGTCATCAAGAGATCAAATTATGGCTTTTAAAATAACATGATATGACTTCGGGATGTCTGCTGATATTTGAAGACTATTTAACGTAATTTATGATAGTTATTGTATAATTGTTATTGTTTGATCTAAATATCAAAATGAATAATCAAGGGATTTGTGTGCATTTTAGGTAATCAGATAATCATTTCGCAAAAAAGTATAATAAAACATTTGTTTAAGTATATTTACCTAAAATGTGGAATAGTTACTTCAATAACACCCTTTTACAAATAGATAAGAACGTTCGCATATATGTATACTAACGGGGGAAATAACTGTGCTTCATATAAAGTGATGTAAATGTTACGTAATTAAAAATTTAATATGGTTTAGGACATTCGTCTGACCAATTTTTTATCATAACAAATTAATTCACAAAACCCATAATTGGGAAAAGGAGACAGAGAAACACGCCCTAAAGAGGGGTGCTGTAACCACTCAATTAACAATGGGCTGTGACCACCATTTGCGTTGATGCATGCGAGGAAGCGACGACGCCTTGGAGACGCCAGATGATTGAATACAGCCTTGCGATATTGTTCCAAATGTCCAGCAAAGATTGTGCTCCCTGAACCGGCTGGGCACGAATTTGTCTCAACCAAAGAATTGTCCGAGCAGTTCATGTGGCAGTTTGGTATCGATTCCGTCGATACACAAACCGAATTGCTTGTTTTGTTGACGTGAAGTCACACGTGGCATTACTGTTGCGCTGCTGCAGACAACATCTCAATAGAAACAATATTGTGTTTCAGTGAACATTAAAGTGTCTTCCAACTTTTTTTGAGCACTTGACATCTTAACATTCATTGTGAACTGTTTACATTAAAAACACGTGTGTGAATATAATGCTCCCAACAAATATCCCAATTGTGCGCCGTGTATGAAAATTCATGTGCAATTGTGAATTGTGAATCACGACATTAAAGTCTTCATGGATATGTATTGAAAGATGTATTATTTAAATTCAGAATAAATTAATTTTTAGTGAACTTTATGTGAAGCAAATGTTAATGTGTTTCTCTCATGATTTAATGTCCAGTGTCATTCCATGAATGCCGTTAAGCAAATGGTAATTATTTTCCTCTCGTCTTATACGGTATGCCATCTTTGAAGATTTGACTCCAGGGCCCACTTGCACAAAACGATCCTAGTGCTACGACCATTGTAAGCCTATGTTAAAGTAAGGTAGTTACGATCATCTCAGCTCTAAGATCGCTTTGAGCAAGTGGGCCCTGATCTAACGACTTATTGTAAGTCAACATATCTCCCGTCTAAAGCCGAAAGGCTAAGACCAGGGCCCACTTGCACAAAGGAATCTTAGCGCTAAGATGATCGTAACTCCCATACTTTAACATAAGCTTACCATAGTCTTAGCGCTAAGATCGCTTTGTGCAAGTGAACCCTGGTCATTACACAATCAAACCGGTAGACAACCTAAAGACACCAACCTTCTATCTCCTGGTAGCCCCCATCATTGTCCTCATCCCGGGCATATGAGACCACGCTGGGGACAATGAAAATTAAAAAGATTGAAATAAGAGACAAGTTAGCCTACGGATAAGCTGTAATACATTTTCAAGTTACATTGTGTTAAACAGCTTGTATAGAGTTTCGCCGTTATAGCCACGCAAGGCCATATCATTGCGTAGAGAGTAACTTTTTATTCATTTCACTTGAAGATCGATGGCAGATACTCACCGATTTTGAATGGATCCCCCCTCTGAAAGTTACAACGTTGGGCAGGTAATTATGTATACAAAATGCAAGATGAATAACAGATGACTCCTTGTCATTGCATACCATGAACCTAATGGTAAATAGGTTGAAGTATGCTGTGATAAGTGACTCGTTTCCTCTTTCGGGATTAAAAGGTTTAAATAATAATGCACTGAGGTAAAAGAGCCAGTGTGACTCGTGATTTTAAAAGGTGAATCAGTGCTAAACATTTCTCAGAAGTCAGAAACAAATTAATGTTATATTAGTGATAAGTTATGACTAAACAGAATGTCCATTTAAAGTTATCCAAATCAAAGAATACAAACTGTTTTCAAGAAAGGGTTGATTACATTTTCATTCGCGATTACCCTGTAAAATGTAAGAAACGTCATCCTATATAATTGACATGGCGTTGCAATGACTAATTATTATTTACGACACCAACCTTCTATTTCCTGGTAGCTTCCGTCTGTTTCCTCGTCCCGGGTATATGCGACCACGCTAAGGGAGAGGAGCGTTTAAAATGATTGATGCAGAAGGAACTAACCAAGGCAACTTAACTGTATAGATACAGTGTTATTGAAATCACTGTTTTTACATGAACTTTTTACCCTTTTGACTTGATGAATAGCAGATACTCACCGGTTATGAAGGTATCCCCTCTCTGAAAGTTATAAATGTGTGTAGATAATTACGGATACATATTTCAAGATAAATAACAGATAAACTAAATAATCGTATCATTGCATACATTTGATATATTCATAAATAATTTGAACTTCGGACAACACTATCTGCCTGTTTATCCTAGTTTTAGAAAAAGTGTCAAAGAAGTAGTACTAATATCATTAAGCCATTATATATATATATATATATATATATATATATATATATATATATATATATATATATATATATATACTGGCAGAAGGCCCAGCTGTGCTATACATTTGTTCGAAGTAACAACATGACATTGCATTGCATATTAAACTGAGGTTTTCTATCATACTTACAGAACTAGAGTTTCCCTGGTAACATGGATATAACTCAACGTCCCCTGCCGATCGTTAGATTTTCACAGCAAAGTTACACAGAACACAAATGTTCAGAAATATGGAACTGACAAAAGTGCCAGACCAAACATCGTCTAAATTACTCAAATAAATTCAAATCGCTTTGCATCATAAATGACAAAAGTCAGACTATCTCGATTACTCTTTCGTTAAGTCATTTGGGTATATAGACATTTACTCAATGTATACTTGCAATATTTATTTATGTTCCATTGTAGTGCTGTTTATGAACAGTTCATGCAGTCATGACAGTCATGTAAGAGAAATGATGAGATGATATATTGGATTGATTGAGAGAAGAGACACTGTCAAGTACATATCATCCCAGTTGCCTTTTAATTCATCTCATCACCTGATCTAACTTTTCAAGTGAGCTTTTTATTCCATTCTTAACATCTTCTCTGACATAAAGTAAACTACGTTTATAACGAACTGGCGGATATAACGAACTATCGTTTTGGTCCTGTCCTTTTGCTGTGTATATTTCGTACATTTGCTTATAACGAACTACGGGTATAACGAATTAAAATAAGTGGTCCTTATTTTACTGTACTGTATTTATGAGAGTGAAAGGTTATGCATGTAACCTCATTAGTAATACTGTCCCTTAAACGGCGGTCTCAGATTCCCCTTCCTCAAACAGACTCGGTTTTGATCCATGATGATGGCCATCAAGGACAGGGAAACATTGCCGTCTCTTCGTTTATTCAAAGTCAACTATCAGGAAGAAACCTAAACAACTGATTAGACTGAGTAATATTAATAATAAAGATGATCATTACAACCCCCCTCCCGACCCACACACACACGACCCTCACGAAGACCGTCATTTTCATGTTGTTTCATTGGTATGACACGGAGGTTAACAACAACCTCAAAACAGCTGTTCATCCAAATAAATACTTAAGACCACAATGCCGTCGTTGTTGCGCATATTTCGTATTTATAATAATATCTTTTTCATTTGACTGCCTTTACTTTAATATTGAGACTCGGATGAACCATTTCCGCGTGACGACACACACCCTTAGCTGTACACACAACATAACGTGATTGACTTCAGGAAGAGTTTTAAACCCAGGATACCTTGTTAACAATTTGCGGTCAGAAAAGATAATTGTTTCGTTGACATAAATCGATCAGAAAAATACACTCATTCGTAGTCAAGGTAACTGAAGGGCGGTTTCTGATATCTTGACCTGTGGTCACTTATGCCGGCCTACACTGCCTGGTGCATGTGCAAACAACCAATTTCTTCACATGCTGTAAATCTTGAAATATACGCGAGCGTGAATGAAATGCGAGTGGTGTTTGCTCGTATTAATTAACTTCGCATTTATGTCTCCAAATGCGCATCCAACAATAAGACACTGCACACTTTGAATAGCGGAAATACCAACTTGAATATAAACACAAACACGGTTTATTGATCAGCAGTTGTAACAAGTATATAACAATGTCAGTCAAAGAATAGGAATTACACAATAGGCATCCGGTGAATTATCACTGCTGTGGTCAAAAGTTCTACCCGCTCGTGTCAAGCTTGTTGAGTCGCATTTTTGGCTAGGGGCCAGCAGTCGCATTTATTTGGAGACGCATTAATTTCCAGATTTATAGTATTTATTTTGAAAATAAACCTAGAGTAATTGATATAGAGCTTACAAACGTAGAGTTGATACTTGTAATGAAGTAAGATCAATATTTGATATTGCCAAACGGGCGGGTTTCCGAAAGAAGTTCTTCTAAATATGTCGTTCGTGGTAATGTGGTCATCTGCAAAATTATGGCCTAAAGTAGATTCCATACCGTCGGCGGACCAATCAGAATGCAGGATTCTAAAATATTATGATAGAATAGTTAATGTGACTCTCACGTTGTACACAATCCCTCTCACACCACACAGTATTACCTTTACCTGTCTGTTTTCTACGAACAACAAATATGACGACCACGGCGATGACGACGATCAGCACAGAACAGATAGCAGCCATGTAGACGATGGAAGCGACGCCAGCTTCAGTAACCTCACGTGCTGGAACATTAAATAAATTAACAAAAGGATTGTTTATGATTCTAATGTTTCCGATATATAACATATGGAATAAACAGTCACTTTAATGTGTGTGTGTGTCTGTGTCTTTGTGTGTATGTTTGTGTGTGCGCGCGTGAATTAACATGGAATCAATTATGATATGTTTTTCCAATTAAATGCTTTCATGCTACTGATTCTGTTACTACAGTCTATCACAAGCAAAGTTGTGAAATTCTTACAGAAAACGTCCAGCGTCAGGCCCCGTGATGTATTCCCATATGTATTGTTGACTTGACACGTGTACTGTCCAGACACAGATCTGTCTACAGCTGGTATATACAACACAGCCTCCCTCTGTCCCGTGATCACCCTCTGTCTGGATGTGTCCCACCAGGTCACAGTGCAGGCGGGGTTACAGTCAGCAGAACATCTCACTGTGAGAGGGTCACCTTCTACTGCAGACACGTTGTCTCTGTTGCCATTAAATTGTAACGTGTCTGGTCCATCTGAATAACATAAATAATTTGATGTTTTGGCCTACCATAGTTGATACCTGTAATCATGAACTTTACCATGGCTGTACATCCCTTTCTATATTCATTAGCGATCTCTGCAAAAGCAGAGTCAGTTGTACGATTCCGACTATTGCATAAACATGTTTATCAAATAGTAATGATACCAGACTCAAGCACTGACACGTGTTTTGACAAAACAGCTTCTGTACTCACACAGAACATTCAGAGTGTATCCCTGACTCCAGTCTGACAGGACGCCCTCTTCTTCAGACTGACACGTGTAGACACCCTTGTCCCCCTTGGTGACGTTGTCTATAGTCAGGACTGCCCCCTCCACGTGTACCCCGCTCTCCACCCTCCTGTTGTTTCTCCTCCAGGTGTAGGACGTGTTCAGGGTATACGGGTACAGAGACCGGTCTAGAGGAAGACTCCGGGAGGTGGAGGTGCAGGTCAGTGTCACAGGACCACCTGATACAGGGTCGGCAGATGTCGTGCTGATGTTCGGTTGTGATGGTTTCTCTGAGAGCAACGTGACAAAAGAACTCTCTGATATCTGTCGGCATTACTGCATTGCATAATAATGAACTTCTAGGTAAATCATGTACATACACACTTGTCAGAATGTTTGTCAGTGTGTCTAAGAACTTCTATGTGATCTTTGACCTGTTTCCTATTCATTCCCGCGAAAGAAAACAGATATTTAATTGATGAATAGGGAATTTACAAAGCATTGTCAAACTACTGTTTTGTTGACAGAGCATCTGCCTGGATATTCGTTCCCATGCCGCGTGATAACAAAAGACGTTAAAATATGGTATTTGATGTTACCCTGCCTGAAGCTCGGCATTAAGGGTATAAGACAAGGACTGGTCGGCTTTGAGTGAGTACTAGTATATATATCTGAGTGAGAATACTGTATCTGAGTGGAATATTCATGTTACTCCGTGACATGGTATTTCCCCCGACTAGCACTATTACACCAGATTCAGTCCTGACTTATGAAAGCAAGCACGCACGCATACACGCACGCACGCACGCACGCCCATCCCAAATAGATGTGACAGATCCATTCTCCATTATCCAGTGTATTATATCTCTATTCTATCACCAGAAGTGGGTCACGGGTGGCCCAGTCGTCTAAGGCGCAGCAATTCGCTGTGCATAGTTCCGTCCCTTTGGCACTACAGAAATCTATGGTTGTGGGTTCGAATCCCGGTTCGCCCCGATTATGTTTCTAGGTTTGTAAGCACCATACCCGTGCTCGTGGGTTTCACCGAAGTGGTAAACGTCTGAAACCTGCATCACTACGGACTTTCCTCCCACATTAACCTGACACGCCGTGATATGTATGGTATACTGTTAAAAGTGAGGTTAAACACAACTCACTCACCCACTCACTCACTATCACCTGAATCGTAGTAGTTGCCCCTCAAATGGGGGACGACTTCTTTCAAGAGAACATTGCCTTCAACAAAACTAAACTGATAGAATATATCTCTTCAGTTGATATATGTCTCCTCAGACCATTTCCATGTCTCGTACAATATTCCTTTTATCGTGTCTCAAAAACGAGCGTTCAATATGGAATTGTCTATTTGGGAGATAAACTGATCATACTCAGATCATCTGGTTACTTACGCAGTACAATGAGAAGCTGACTCCACATGTTAGCAGGCCTGTTACTGTCGTAAGCAACACACTGGTACACTCCGGCGTCCTGCACGTCGACACTGCGGAAGAGGAGACTGACCACCGTCCTCCCTTGCAGGGATGGAATGACACTCAGCTGAATCCTTTTCCCGTTCTCTGTATGTGTGTTGATAGTTGTAGACACGCGTGTATAGTCATCCACGTCGAACAGGACCTTGGAATCGTTAGGTTTGAGCTTCCCATTAGGTCTGACAGACACAATCTCAAACTCCGGGACAGCTTGAAGTACATTCCAGGACATGTGGACTCTTTCCCGGACACGGGCAACAGTATTGTTCTGGGAGGCTGAAACAACACATTAGAAACATCACTATACAGTTGGCGAAGTGAAATGTT